TTAAGAAGCAACCATCAACCTTGAAACCATTTATATCAAACCGTGTTCGCAGGATTCAAGAGTTGACATCTTCAGATCGATGGCGTCAAATTCGTTCGGCGCAGAATCCCGCTGATTGTGCTAGCAGGGGCATAACACCGCAAGAGCTGCTACATCACCCACTTTGGTGGCACGGACCCGGTGAGCTAGATAGCTCCGCGCTATATAGTACGGACATACCCCTCAGCCCGGACGAGTCAAAGGTACTTCACGCTGAGGAGCGAACAGTATCGTGCCTGGTCGGAGTGCATCTGGTCCGACCATTGGAAACGCGCAGGCCAGATGGCCATGTCATCTCGTTGACTGAACGCTTCAGTTCCATGCAGCCGTTACTAAGGACGGTGGCCGTCCTGCTACGATGGTTACCGAGACGTCGACACTTTCGTCAACCTGTTGTAAGTGCACGGAAGTTAGATGCTGCACTAGACATTTTGATCCGGTTGGAGCAAGCAAGTAATTTCGCGTCCGAAATTAAGCAGCTGAAGGCCAGCTCAGGTTTGTCATCTTCAAGTAAGATTCTCTCATTAAATCCCTTCTTAGATGAGCACCTGCTCCTACATGTTGGAGGTCGTCTCCACAAGGCGGAAGTTGAGCACGATCAGCGATTCCCGATGATCTTGCCGAGATGCAGTCCTCTCGTGCACCTCTCAATCCGACAAGCTCATGAAACAACGCTACATGGAGGAGCACAGCAGACGCTGCATACACTTCGTCGCCGTTTTTTAAACGCAAGACAAGCTGTCAAGTCTTTTATACACCACTGCGTCGTATTTCGACGTCACCGAGGGGTGCTCCTCAAGCAGCAAATGGCTTCGTTACCCGGGCAGCGAGTTAAACCTGCAAGACCATTTGTATCCGCTGGGGTGGATTATTGTGACCCTTTCACTCCACGTGTTGGCACAAAACGCTCTCGCACTCTCGTGAAGACATACTTGGCTATTTTTGTATGCATTGCGACTAGAGCCGTTCACATCGAGGTGGTGGATGATCTGTCTGCGCAAGCCTTCCTCGACGCTTTTACACGCTTTACCAGTCGGCGGGGTCCTTGCCGCGACTTATACAGCGATAACGGCACGGCATTTGTGGGTGCGAATCGACTGCTCCAGGAAGACGTGGCGGCATGGAACAATGAGAACAATCAACGGTCGTTAGCGAGCATGGGCACCCAGTGGCATTTCATCACTCCTAGTGCACCACACCAGGGTGGTCTCTGGGAGGCTGCGGTTAAGTCTGCCAAGCATCATCTGGTCCGCTGTGTGGGTTCTCAGACAATGTGGTACACCCAATTGCAGACCCTGGCCGCGCGTATAGAAGCGTGTCTCAATTCTCGTCCGATCACTCCACTGTACGATGACCCAGACGAGAAGTTTGCATTGACACCAGGGGACTTTCTCATCGGAGCACCGCTTTTAGCTGTGCCGGAGCCAGACATACGCGAGATTCCCACCAATCGCTTGAAGCAGTGGCAGTGGGTACGACAAGTCCACCAGGAGTTTTGGCAGCGTTGGAGCTCCGAGTATTTGATCACGCTCCAGAGGCGCAATAAGTGGCAGCGACGCGTCACGGATATCCGAGTCAACGATGTGGTGTTGGTGCGGCATGAGAATCTACCACCAACCCAGTGGCGTCTTGGTCGTGTGGTGGCAGTGCATCACGGAGACGACGGAGCCGTCCGAAATGTCACTTTGAAGACTGCGAGTGGATGCATCACCCGAGCTGTTCAAAAGCTATGCTGCCTGCTTGAACAAGATGATTTCGAGTCAGCCGACTCGACCGGGCAGGATGTTTAGAGTTAAGTGTGAACTCATTGTAATGTTTTCTTAACTATCAAACTTGTACTCTATGGCTACCCTATCTTATCGATAAATATGTATCTACTTTGACATTTCTATTGTTTGCCAAGAATCCATTTGCATTAGTACGGTTTTTTTGTAATATTCATTTTGCTATATAAGCGCGAAACCATCTTGTATACGCTCTCTTTTGCGACAATATCTGCAGCAATAAACGTGCGATTTCTAGAGGACATCGTTGGAGTCTTTTATTTAACACAGACGCAATCGGAAGTTTGTTTTCTTTAAACAAGTTTATACTTAAACATCAAATACAAAAATTTCTTTGAATACTCTTTTTTTTCACTACACAGATGCTTTTTCGAATTCAGGACAAGGAAAAATAAAATAAGCAAGTGTTCGCCCGGCGGTTGAAATTCAACTTCTAAAATTAAGGGGAGTTGAGGTGGGCTAAGCTGAGCCGAGTTGAGTTTAGTTGAGTTACTTGAAGTGGATTGAGGTGAAATCCGTTGAACAACATAACAGAATATAACACAACACAATACAAACCAACACAACACAAGACAATGCAAAACAACACAACAATTTTCTTAAATTTTATCTTTTTCTCTTTCCTTGTGTCTACCTTTATCTTCACTATTTTCTCATCTTTTTTATCTTTTCATTTTTATTTATCATTTCCTTGACTTTTATCTTCTTATCTGACTTGTATGGTCTAAAAAAGTTCGACCACATATCCCTTTGGAAAAATGACATTTTGGGGTGTAGCATTACTTAGTATCTTGCCGCTAGGAATGCATATTTATATATAAATTATTAGAATGGACATCTCCAATGTATTTATATGAGAAGCTAAATCCAACAAAATCCAGTAGACGCCACAACCTGCTAGTCCCTAAATACACATATGTATCTAGCCTCATCGAGATTGTTCTTCACCAACGCTGTGAGACTCTGGAACAATATCCCCGAGTCCGTTAAATCTATACTGAATAGGAGTAACTTCAAGGCGATAATACTTAATTACTTCAAGTCTATGTAGTGAGTACGATTGTGATAAATAATTTTCCTTTCTTTCCTCTCTTCTCTTCATTTATCTTCTCCGGTAGTCTTCATATTTTATTTTATTTCAAGAAAAAAATGTAAAAAAAATTCACATATAAGTGATTCTTCTTTTTAGTTGTAAGCTCACTTAATTTTAGTTTTAGTTCAATTCAATAATATGCTACTTAATTAAGTTCATGTACTATTAAAAGATTATTGTCTTACATGTACAACCACTGTTCCCCCTTAAATAAATAAATAAATAAATAAATAAATTTATAATCGGATTTTAAAGCGTGATACACCAATGTCGAGGAGAGCGTTTTTCCTGCGGGGGTTCATTGATCTCATGTACTCCGTTGTGGTACTTACCCATCAGATCTCAGTTGCTACCACCCTAACGCACCGCCCTAATGACAGAATATTAAATACCCATACCACATACCATAACCACATCCATACTAATATGCTTGATTATCTATTTTTAGCGCGCTTGTGCACAAGGGTATTATAACTTTGTTCATATAACAGGCAAAACGAATCGAGATAGATACAGACAAATGTACACATAAATGATCAGAATGAAAAGAAAAATCGATTCAGCGGTGACTGTCTGTCCGTCCGTCCGTCCGTCCGCCTATGCACACGATAACTCGAAGTAAAATCTGAGATATCTTAACGAAACTTGGTACGTGCACTTCTTTCTGGCGTAGGAGCGGATGGTATCGAAAATGGGCAAAATCGGACAATACCACGCCTACCTCCCATATAACGGTAATTTTCAGAAATACGAAACTGCGATATTT